CATAATATTTTTTTTACTGTTTTTTTGGGTTTGCTTCAAATTGAAACGCCAAGGTTTATACATTTATAATTCCAAGAAGAGGGTTTTTTAATCATTTGTAGTGATTCCCCCTCAGATGTCCTTCAATTAGTTCTGACCACATGTTTTGGGTTGCCTGAAGGCTACAGTTCTTTTTCTCAGGCCACTACACCTTAAAATAGAGCAGCACTTACTGGGTTTACAGCAGCCTTTTCCACTGTTTATATAGTATTTGTGAATTTTGTTGAACTAAAATAGATCTGTTTTATGTAATTCCAGAGCCTAGGTTTTTTTTTTACTCAGATTTGTTTTTATGCTTTCTGCTGTGTCAGTTGTTAACTGTGCTTTTAATTCATAGTATACTGTTCATATTCTATAACATTGATGATCATGTGTCTTAGTGTTGTACTGTTTGCTCCCCAGGAGTTAGTTTGGAGCTGTGTCCTGAAATGGCTCAGTCCATGGGCCCAGACCTTGGCCCAGTTTATCCACCTCTGCCTACCTACTGCAGAGTCTCAGGGGATTTTGTACTTTTACCTACAGTGTTCAGGACAGAGGAGGTGTTCTGTACATGCTGTCTGATACTGGAAAGCTGTACTCTACATAATGTGCATATAATGTATACAGCACTTCCAGGTACTTCACATGTTCTAAAAATGTTAACATTCTGTAAGTATAATAACCTTAATCTCTCCCCAGACATGGTTCCTGACTCTAAGATGCTTAACTGAATATATCCAGTGCTATAAAATTTCTGATTAAAATGTTAGCTCTGAGTATCCCCCTTGTCTTAAGCTGTATATTTGCCTTTCTTACGTCCATTTGATAACTGTTTCTTCTAATTCAGTGTCAGAGGGAAGCCAGAGCCTGTCCCAGCAATGGTTGCAAGGCATGGGTACCCCAGTCCATCGCAGGGTAGACAGACTCAGACACAAACCAGGGCCATTCATTTTTCCACGGAAGCTAATTAACCTACCAGTTTGTCCTTTGATTGATGGAGCAAGCTGGAGCACCCAGTGGAAACCCACACAAAACACAGGGACAACATACAAACTCTATGCAGATAGCACTCAGGTCCAGAAATGAACACAGAACCCCAGCACTGCAAGGCAGCAATGCTAACCCCTGCACCACCCTCTGTATATACAATAAGATATAAACAAGATATTAGTAAACGGTCCTGCTGTCTGACAAGAAAATCCTTGAAGAAACAGCTGAATTTGGTCCTCTGATCAAAAAGCTACTGGCAACAAATGAACACAAATGGCCTCCCATCATGTTTAACTACACTTGTGGTCTTGTGTCCCTACGGATTCATGTTTGTAGTTGTTTTTCTCTGCTTTGTCACTTTCTCAGGCAAGAAAGAGTTAAACAATTGTGGCAAAGGGCCTGAGGCCATTAGGGGGTTATAATTATCAGCGAAGAAAAACAGAGGAAAGGGGTGGGATGGGAATTTCATTCTGAAACGTCGCAGCAGTGGCCAAGAGACAACAGGCTTGCACATGGGTGTCGGAATGAGATCAGCTAAAAAAGCACAAGTGAGTGCCTATAGGGCAATTAACAGAAATAATGGGAGCCCAATAAAAACAACTCCTTATCTGTGAACCATCGGGGAACCAGCCCCATGCAGTATCAGTGTTTTTGTGGCCATAGCACAGTTGAGGGCTGATAAGATAATGGGGGTGAGAACAGGTTGCTGATGTCACCAGCCTCAAAGCGATGCTGCATGCTGACAGCGTACTGGTCTTTCCTGTCTAAAGGAAAGAGGTAAGGCCTTCTGTTGGTGTTTTAGTGTCTCAGGTGGCTGTCCTCTCTCCCAGGGCCATTTCAGCGTTCTCTTTTTTTTTAAAAAGCTTTCAGCTCCAGTGCGTAATGGGTTTCACATTTTCCTGCTGAAAAGGAAATAAGCTTTCTTTAAGAAAAGCCGTGCATAAAGTTAGAAACAATGTACATCTGGAAGCAGACAATGGCAGACGCCTTTGCAGATAACTTTGGCTTTTCATTAAAAATACACTATTGTGCCTCACTGCTAGACTTATTATGAATGTTGCATGTTGGCATAAGTTTCCTAAAAGCACACATGATAAAAGACACACACTATTTTGGTATTACAGGACCTTAAGCTTTCCTCCCACTTATGTCTACAGGGTTTCCTAAAAAAGACTGCATTGGGAGTTTTATGTAAGCATTGAAAATGGTATATGTTTCAGTTTTCTGCTAGAAAAGTACACATAGGAACCATTTTGAAATGTCTCCCTAAATTAAAGTTTTTCTTGTATACAAAATGTTGTGTGTTGTTACTTAGAAATGCTGTATTTTGTACCAACAGCCTTGTGAAGAAAAGCACTGTCTTTGTCGACATATTCTAATGTATTCCCTGAACCGCAGAATTCTGTGGTCATCCTGCTGACCACATCTGCCTTTTAGTTTCAGGATGAGAATTTCCTGAATGGAAAGTCCAACAGTAAGAATGGAGATAGTGAGGGAGTGTGGGAAATGAACCATCACCAACAGCACCCACATCTACACCAAACAGCCAACAGCATGACTTTATTTAGGAAATGTCCTGCAGTTTAATCGGCTTGGCTTGTACAGTAGCTTTCTGTTGGAACTGTTGGAATAACAGGCTACCAGCCAATCCAAATTGCAGGAACTGAGTATGATGCAGACATCAGATTAGCTCAGACATTGGTCACATGCGAGCATCAATTTTGAACACTTAAACAGAGGACTTCTTCTTTAAAGAAATTTGGAGTGAAAACATTAAAGATCGGTGGCTCATTTTCGTTCTGTTTGAACATGTTATGATCTAAATTGATCTCAAATGTGGATTTGTTTACAAAATATCAATGAAACGTCTGAGAAATATAATGAGTAAGTTGGCGGGCCATGTGATAAGCCTGGTGATTGTGCAGTTGTTTGGCAAGTGTTGTCATTGTTTGTGGTTGGGCTTGGCTCAACAAAATCTGTCTGAAGGGCCAAGAACATCATAGTAAATCACAACAAGCAGTATTAGTGTATTAGGAGAACTTCACATTTGTGCTTGGAACCAGTGGTTTCTATCCCTGGTCCCGGCAAAACCCTGTGTCTTCTGGGTTTTTTTCCTGAAGCTGAAGCTCTTCACTGAAGCTGATCGATCCCTTTAATCTAACTTATTAATTGGACTGTGATGACTGTTTTCTACATTTTTAGTCTCTGGTTTCATAAATACTTTGCTGAACATGTATCGCTATGTAGAAATGTGGAAAACAGAACTCAGTCCAGTCTCTCCTCAGCTTGCGAATGAAGTGTTTGTACCATTATCTCTGTCATACTAGCTGATTGGTTTGTGACGAACACACACGGGCACGACTGACACTGTTTCCAACACTCTCCATTATGTATAATTCCACATACCTGAAAGAGGGCAGGTGTGAATCTGGTATTAACAGTAATCTCTAGCCCCCTCTGACTTCATAATTGCTGAGTAAAGGTCTTAATAAGCAACAGGAGATCAATTAGCCCCATCAAGAGTTAAGTTGGAAATAAAAAATTGAAAAGACAGGGGTCCACTAGGAGCATAGAGTAGCTTATAAAAATTGTTACAAACAAGAGGAGGCCATTCAGTCCATCTCATTTGGTAGTTTGTACTGTAGATAATTGATCCCAGAATCTCATCCAGCCATTTCTTGAAAGAAGCTAGGGTATGATATTGCTGGGTAACTTCTTCCATACTCCCACAGTCCTCTAGGTAAAAAACCTGTTTGTGTATTTTCATACATTACATGTGATCAACTTTTCTATAAAAAATACAAGTGCAGGTCAAAGTTTTGTGAATTTCAAATTGGTTGTTAATGAGTTTAATAGAAGTCAGAAAGTAAGATGTAAGAAAGTAAACATGATTGCACTGTCCCACAAGAGGAGAAGCCATTACAGCTCCCTGCCTAGGGGTCATAGCTCTTCAGGCTTGGTGAAATGGTACTATCTCAACTGAGACACACTTTTCAAGCACGTACACCATATCTCCATGCTTAGAAGATCACCCACATGGGTATCTCTGAGGAAAGCAAAACTCTATTGTGTATGCTGCCCTGAACACTGTTTGTGAAATAGTACAGGCCGGTGAATTGTTTTTCTTGGGTCACTTCAGAGACTCCAGCTGCAGTTCTTCAGTAGTTAGTGCCAAACCATAAAGGAGTAAAGTGTAACAAGACAGATTCTCAACTCTACATTCAGTTTATGTATTAAATATATATTGTATGTGAAACACATGACCTTTACAACCTCCATTTGCAGGCATCACATTTCCTGGTGTCAGATGTCAAATACACAAGGAGGTTGCTGCATTGTAACCAAATAATACATTTCCTAATTGAAAGACAGTTGTTGCCAGTGAGTCGGCCTTATCTTTCTGTAGTCTTCCTTAAGGTTTCCCAATTCTGTAAACCTTGAGGATTTGGTATTTAAAGTTAATACAGACATAGAACCAAACATCTATTGTTTGGCTCCCTTGTAGCATTTAATGAGGTTAATTAATAGTTCGGGTTGATTTGGTTGTTATTGTTCATTGATCTTTTAATTTTTTTGAAGGACTGTGGCTTCTCTGTTAAATTTCTAAGACCTTGTTAAATCCTTGTTGGGGTCATGTCTTTTCACTCAATAGACACAAAATTACAGATGAGGGTGAAAAACAATCTACGGATGGTTCAATACAGGTTTTAGGAAAATGAGCTTTCAAAAAGGCCTCACATGCAAATTCCTAGTATACACCAGCCCTCCCTTTATTTATTTTCATTTAAAAACATTGAAGTTTCCAAGGCTGTGGACATAGCGTGTCTTCAGCCAGATGTGCACACCAGCACAAGTTGTACTCTCTGACTGCATCACTACTCAGACCTGTGATGGACTTCAGCCTAACTGTCCACCACATATAGGAGAAATTCCACCTGCCGCTATTCTAAAGCTGGGCTCCTCTAATCCCAGTCATGTGTCTGGTTTTGCAGGACCGGTCAGCGAGTGCTATGGAGGCGGTGGAAGACAAACCGGTCAAGACATCAGTGGCAGAGCTGGCAGGAAAATTCAAGGGTCAGGTCTTGCCCCCTCCTGCAGGAATTCAAGGGGTGAGGTTTTTAAATGTTTTTTGCTTCCACATTTCGCTTTTTCACATTTCACCTGAAAATGTTTAAGTGGATGGAAATCAAGCAAAAACTTTTTCAGACAGGGGAATGCGTTCTCTTTTTATGGTGGCCCAATCAGTCATGCTGTGCGTTTTGAATTTGCTTCATTGACTCTATTCAGAGAGGGTAGAGGCAGGCTGCTTCCTCCTTGCCTAGGAATGACGACTTCTCAGGCACACGGTGCTCAAAGTGTAGCTTAGAGACGGGTGATAAAATAAACACCAATAATGTCTTAAATGTGAAATGGATGACCTTTGCGAAGGGGTATATAAGTTAAAAGAAGGGATTATATCAGTAGGTTCTCTAAAAGCTGAACTCTGTATGAGCTCAGCTTTTTTCAGTGCACTAATATCTTTTTTTAACCAAACTATTCACTCCAAGTACTTTCTGTTTTTATAGAGATTCATGGTGAAGCGGGGTACAGAATTGTAAAAAACAGAGAAATAAAGAAAATCTAAAATATTCCAAACAAAATATAATTAATAGCAATTAATAATTGCTTACACTTATATAGCACTTTTCTGGACACTCCACTCAAAGCACTTTACAGGTAATGGGGACTCCCCTCAACCACCACCAATGTGCAGCATCCACCTGGATAATGCAACAGCAGCCATAGTGTGCCAGAACGCTCACCCCACATCAGCTATTAGTGGGGAGGAGAGCAGAGTAATTAAGCCAATTCACAGATGGTGCTTATTAGGAGGCCATGATTGGTAAGGGCCAATGGGAAATTTGGCCAGGACACCGGGGTTATATCCTTACTCTTTTCAAGAAACACCCTGGGATTTTTAATGACCACAGAGGATCAGGACCTCGGTTTTACGTCGCATCCAAAGGACGGCACCTGTTTACAGTATAGTCTCCCCGTCACTATACTGAGGCATTAGGACCCACATGGACCACAGGGTGAGCGCCCCCTGCTGGCCCCACTAACACTTCTTCTAGCAGCAACCTTAGTTTTTCCCAGGAGGTCTCACATCCAGGTACTGACCAGGCTCAAATCTGCTTAGCTTTAGTAGGTTGCCAGTTGCCAGTTGTGAGTTGATATGGCTGCTGGCTGCTAGCTAGTAACATTGCTTATGTCAAAAACAGTGCAGTAGTTGCTGACCGTGGTATCATAAAGCCCAGTGCAGATACCTCTGCTGTGTCTTTGAGTGTAAGATTTAACTTCAGTTGTTCTAGGCTACCCAGATGTATCAATGAATAACAGCAACAACCTAACCTAAAATGAAGAATCTATCATTAGTTTTAAACTGATCACTTAATTCTACACAACCTGGAATATATTCTGGTACTTTGAGGTGGCAAGTTCCAGCAATACTTTGAACTAAAGATCATGTCAAGTTACGAACCTATCATAGGCTCTTAGCATAATTTCTAGACAAATACTCTAGTTCCCACTGCTATCGTTATGACTTAGAATTGGTGAGTTGAAAATATATCATATACTGTACATATTCTACTGAACACCTGAACCCTGCTGTTACACTAATAATTATTCTGTAATCAGACTTCAATAAGACAATCGGATGGAACACACTTAACAAAATACAGAACAAGTGGGAAATTACATATAGGGAATTTAATTAAGTATAGGGAAGTGCAGATGGCACAAAGCCATCCTTTGACAACATATTGCTCTCATCAGAGCTCTTGTCTAGACAATACTCACATGTGCCACAGATATTAAAGCCTCTGAGAAACAAACCAGTCAGCTTCACAAAGGTCAGCTGAATGCAGAAACAGGAAATGCAGAGTAGGAAGTGAATAACAGTCGTAACCACCTGCTTTTTAATTATTTTCTTTAGAATCTCTTTCTCCAGTTCATCACTTTGTCCAAAATGAGTCAAGCTTTTAATGTGCTGCTTCATTGATGATGGTTTTCTGTTTTGTTCTGAAAGTAGACAGGCAGAGTTATAAGAAACTTTAATGCTCTCTTGAATTTCAGGAAATTCAGCACCCCTCACACTGACTTAATTTTTCCTTTTGTGCACTTTCTGCAACCATCTGTATGTGTAGCCTTCAGCAGCGGCATTGATTGCACTGATTTGTTTAATTGCAGACCAAGCCAGGCCGTCGGAGACCCCCCTGCTCTCTGCCTCTCCATGGCAACAACCTTTCTTTGAAAAAGGAACCAGGGCACGGCGAGGAAGAGGTAAGGCTAGGCCTCTGTAGAAAGGAATGTGTTCTGTGGTTCACCAGTAAAATCAGCCCCAAGAACCAAAACATACCAAATTAGACTTTTAGGCCACAGAATCTGAGTTGTGCCTGCTGATGCTGTGTTTACTGTAGCTTCAAGACGTCACTTCTTTTGCAGACAAGAAAGGTATTGTGTTTTTCTTCAGGAAAAGTTCAGCAAAAGTACTGCAGTACTGCAAAATAATCTATTACCCACAGAATGTACTTAAATATGTGAAACTGCGATGTGAGACAGACCCTGACCTTTGGTAAAAATGAAGAAACATTTTTAAACTACCAAGGGAAGGAAAAAGTGAGAAAACATAACAAAACAGGTAACATTCAAGCATGAGGCCATTAGGGAATTCTGACTGTCCTGGGCCTGGTTCTGAAGGGGGTCCTTCCTATGTTTCTGCCTCCTTTTCCATGCCTATGAATATGACATTTTCTATTTCAAGAACTATTATAAGGTGAGAATCCCAGTTTGCACACTGAAAATAATACAGTGATGCTTCTTCCAAAATGTTCTTAGTACTTCAGATAGCACCAAGGTGTGGCAGATGAGTCTTGGAAGTTACTGATATTATCTCTTAATAGACACACCAGGTAGTAATTGTTTAATAAATTAGATTATTGCTGGTGGTTAATTCTACATTCTCACATGGGATTAATTAGTGGAATGGTTGGGCTACAGTATCTAATAGGCTTTCTTTTAAGTTGGTGGCAGTAGCATCATGGACAGATTGTCTCAGATAGATTGAGTTTTGTGGGTGTTAGGTCTGTAGAACTTGGGTAGTAAAGCCTCCTGCACTGTCTACTATTGCCATTTGTATTTTTTATTTGATTAGATCCCTAGAGCCACCCTGTTAAATCCTATAGCCTGTTGCACATGGAGGGGGTGGTACAGTGTATTAACATACTGTTGTCAGGAGACCTTCCCATGTCAAGACCTCTAAAGAACTACAGTACATTAGATGCATATGTAAAGATCCCTACAAGAGCCATGAAGCTTATAGTTTGTTCTTATAGTTTGTTCATAACAGAAATGCACAAGAAATTCATCTTCAATTAATTCAGCTAATTAATTAATGAAGCAAACCTGTTCCATCTCATGGTAACCATGCACTGTGTGGTACAGCTTGGCTTAGTTTCACACTTTTTCTTCTCGCACAGAAAGCACACCCTGCCAAGGTGAAGCCCAAGAACTCTCCACTCATTGAAAAGCTTCAGGTAGGTCCCAAAGCACACTGTCTTTTAAGTGATTTGCCTTCTTAATGCTCATTTTAACTGCTCTGCACTATTTTCAATGAAACCCCATTTACAGCCAGTTAAGGTGATTAACGCAGTGTTACATGTTTTATATCACCACCTTGGGTAGGTAACCTTACATTTGGTTACATATGGCCAGCAGCCATATCACCCTGCAACTCACAACTCACAACTGGCAACCCGCTGTAGCTAAGTAGGTGTGAGCCTGGTCAGTACCTGGATGGGAGACCTCCTGGGAAAAACTAAGGTTGCTGCTGGAAGAGGTGTTAGTGGGGCCAGCAGGGGGTGCTCACCCTGTGGTCCATGTGGGTCCTAATGCCCCAGTATAGTGACGGGGACACTATACTGTAAACAAGCGCCGTCCTTTGGATGAGACGTAAAACCGAGGTCCTGACTCTGTGGTCATTAAAAATCCCAGGGCGTTTCTCGAAAAGAGTAGGGGTGTAACCCCGGTGTCCTGGCCAAATTTCCCATTGGCCTTTATCAATCATGATAAAGGCCAATGATAACAATCCCCCTCTATGAATTGGCTTCATTACTCTGCTCTCCTCCCCACTGATTGCTGATGTGTGGTGAGCATTCTGGCGCACTATGGGTGCCATATGGATGCTGCACATTGGTGGTGGAGTCTCCATTACCTGTAAAGCGCTTTGAGTGGAGTGTCCAGAAAAGTGTAAGCAATTAATATTATTTATTTGTTTGAATATAATCCATTTAATAATTTAATTATCCAGTTTGATTCCAGTTTAAAAATAA